TCGCTGGAGCCCAGGTTACCGCCCCAAATATTTACCCGCCGCGTTCCCCGCCACCCTGACAACCCGACCCACGGAAGTGTCTTTGCTGGCCCCACAGTCCTCCAAGAGTTTATCCTGCTTCCCGCCGTCTGCCCGAGCCTCCTTGAGCCTCAGTTTCCTCATCTATGAAAAGGAACTGCAAATGTAGAGCCTCCTTGCTTGCTACAAAAATAAAGGAACCGAGGGCCTCGGGAGGTTGTACGAGGGCAGAGTCCCGCGTCCTTCCCCCCATTTCCTAAGGAATTTACAAGATTGTGTGTGCACAGAGTGGTCAGCCACGCGCCCTGGGCTGAGGTGAATGCAGACTTCAACTGAGGTGATCTCAGAACTCAGGGTCCTGAACTACAGGAAGAAAGCACCGCATGGATGGATGCATTCCATGCTGGGTCCCCATGAATGAGCCATTATCCAGGCTTCAAACGGCCCAATGCAATTCCTACCTTGTGTGGCAAATAGGGTGACCAATTGTTCTTTGCGACAGATAAGAAGGGGAGGCTGAGGCAAGAGAACGGAGATTGTGAGGACTGCAATGTGTGAACTACATGGCATAATCCTGTCTGTAAAGGGCTTACTGTGCAAGCAGAAAGGCTCGAGTTCAAGCTCCAAAACCCACATTACAATGAAAGGGCTGTGGAGGCTCATGCCTAGCAGGAGGATCTCTGTGAGTTCGAGGCCAGCCTGATCTACAAAATGAGTTCTAGGACAGCCAGAGCTATTACACACAGAGAAACCCTGTCTCGAAAAACCAAATGCTAATAATGATGATGATGGTGGTGGTGGTGGTGGCCACCCACTTGTAATACCAGTCCTGAGAGGTAGAGGCTGGAAGATCCCTGGGGCTCCCCAGATAAGCCCAACAGGAGAACTCCAGGCCAATGAAAAAACCTTATCTTAAAAATCAAGGTGGGCAGTGCCCAAGGGATCACATTTGAAGCTGACTTCTGACCTTAACAGGTACAAATACACCTGTGTGCATACCTGCATGTGTGTGTGTGGGTGTGTGTGTGCACACACACTAAATTAAATGTAAAGCAAGGAGCTGGTGGCAGCTGAGAATATGGCTAAGCGATAAAGTACTTGCCTAACATGGGTGAGCCCTGGGTTTGAGGGGTCATCCCCTGAACCACAAATAAATATTTTTCATAAATAAATATAAAACAATTAAAATAGAGTAAAATGAAAATTTTCAGTCCCTCGGTTACACCAGACACTTTCAAGTGATTGGTTGCCTTCATCACAGAATCTTTAGACAGTATTGTATGAGAATGTCTTCCCCTGGTAACTCCAATCCTCCTGGGTGTCAGGATGTGGCATACACTAGATCTCATCCCCACAGTCACCCTATGTGGTATAATCAACGCCACTGGTTTGTAGTGAGAAAACAGAGGTACAGACAGCTAAGTAGCTTAACTGCCCATCAGTGGATTAATAGAAGGCAGGCCAGTCTCCTTTTCAAGCCACTTTGAGGTTAGCCACACCCTGCCTCCCTAGGGTGGAGGAGAGTTAAGTAGCTAAAGGGAGGCACCAAACCCCAGAGCAGATAACCCAGGTCCCAGAAGCCACAGTCAAGGTACTTCCTTTCACCAGCTCTCCCCACACCCCTTTTCTCTCCCCAAAAGTATTCTTTTTTATTTGCCCATGACACCCACTGCTCATGCCCTGAGCTAACAATCTAGGAGCTGCATCCAAAGAGATGCCAATTACAAGTTCATTTGGTGCCTGGAGCACAGTTTATCTGTCTGTCATCCAGCTGGTGGGCAATAGGTTTGCTCCTAGGCCATCCCTGTACACATCTCAGTGCTTACATGGGATTTTGCCCTTGTGTTGATCTTGATTTCTCCCCTAGAACCAGGTAAAGGTTTAATCCTTAATCCCTAGAGCCTTCTGGCTGGGCTCCATATCCTATCGTAGGGCCTTTTATGGCCCCCAGCAACCTGACAGTGGTGACAAAGATAGTGAATGACCTCAGTGTTCAGGTGTGAACTTGTCCCTCAGGAGGGGATGTTTCCTTCACCTCCTCACACTGAGAGTTACCTAACTTCCAAGTTTCAGAAGGCCTTTCAGTCACTGGACACAATGGCCTCAGGGAAAAGACTTGATGTCACCTTTGATTTGTGAGAGGAAAATCAGGATTTCTTATGCAGTAAAGACACCTGTTCTTTATCTTAACCAGTCTCTCCCTTGTCTACTCTGCTGTCATATAACAAAATATCGTGTAATTTGTAAACCACAGAAATGTCTTTCTTGCTATTCTGAAGGGTAGGACACCAAAGACCAAGACCCCAGTGCTGTCTCCTGAGCATGACAAAAGGAACAAAGGGAACACTCTATCCCCACCTCAAGCCCCTTGATAGTCCCTAATTCCGTCTGGGAGGACTCTATTCTGGTGACAGCCAGCTCAGAAAGGCACTGATGTTTGACAGGATCAAATTTGCAGTTAGATTGCAATGTTCAGACTTCACCCCAAGGTCTGTCCCATCCAGACCACAACAGCCCCCTCACTGCACACCACTCATGACTCTTTTCTTGAAACTTGTCCAGAACGTCACCCTGGAGCTTCATCTTTCTGAAACTTAGAGGACTTTATTTTCATGGCTGAACTCCGCCTCTCCTACCTGTCTCCCCTGGATTCTTTCTTCTCATTCTTCACTTTCTCACTCCCTCCCTAGGAAGTATAACTATAATTCTCTCACTTTAATTTATTTTTACTTTTAGAACTGATTTTCCTGCCCTTAAATGTCTTCTATGTCTCCACAGACGCTCTATGGAAGAAACTTCTAGTTGTTTCTGTAAATAAATAGGTGGACTCATGCATTCCTGAAATAGTATCTCCCCAGTAGCCTGAGTTAAGACTGGCCGTGTGACTAAGTTTTAGACAGCAGCCAGAACTAGCCCATGTGGCCTTCTCGGTAGGTCTCCTTCACTTACTTCTCTCTCCCCTGGGATAGCAGGCAACCATGAAGCTGGGTTTTAGCCATGAGGTAGAGGTCACTTTCCCAGAACCGAATCAGAAACATTTTAAAAACTGTCTTGGGTGTCATGAAGTGGCTATGTCAACCGACCCTGGGTAAACAACATCTACAGGAGACAAATATAAACTAAAATATCAGGGGCTGGATATTTTGTCCACTGGTAGCTCAGTGGACAAGTGTGTGAAGTTCTGGGTTCAGTCCTCAGAACCACCAGCAATAAATGGGTAAACTGAAATGACTATCTAGTGTAAGCTCCTGTGTGGGCAAATGTGGGGAGGGGTATGCACCTCTGATGCATACAGGTGAACTTTACCCTTAATGCTTCCTGCATCAAATAAACACCATCCGAGGCTCCTTGATGCTAGTGCTGTAAATCTAAGAGACAGACTTTCCTTCTTCCTTAGGCTAGCTTGAGTCATGTTTTAGCATCTGTCCATCTGTCTGTAGCTAAGCTGTCTATAGAGCGATGACTTAGAACATCAGGAATGTATTCTCTTCAGAGCTCAGAAGACGGGAAACTTAGGATCACATGCTGGCTGGGCCCTCAGGGAGGGTCTGCTCCATGCTTATGCTTGGTTCCTGGGTGTGTGCAGGCCATCCTTATGTCTCATGCTTGTCGATGCATCACCTGATCTTCTGGTTGTCACATGATATCCCCTGTATGTCTGCTTTGGTCTTACTTTTATTTTAAGGGTAGCAACTGTTACCTTACATGGATTAGGCTTGCCCTGACTTTGGATGGATAACTTTACCCTAACTATATCTAATCTCTAAAAGACCCTATTTCCAAGTAGTCACATCCATAGGTACTTGAGCAAATCTGAAAGTATGACACAGTTTAACCCGTGCCAGAGACATAAGCCCCAAACTGACCTCCGTGAATGAAAACCATATTAAAGAAGATAAGGTGTCAAGACTTGATATAGAGCAATGATGGTGAAAACTATTTGAGATGTAGCTTTGTGGCAGAGTGCTTGCATAAGTCCCAGCATTGGTTCATTTTCTGTGACTGTAACAGACTACCTGGCTCTGGGTACCTTACAAGTAAAAGATAGGTATTCCACTCACAGTTTTAGAAGCTAGAAGTCCAACATTGGCCAGCTTCACAGTTTCCACCTGTGATGAGGGTCCTTGGCTCTATCATACCATGCAGATAGCATTGTGGTGGGAACATATTCAAAAGGGAGAGATCTCACGGAGAGACAAAAAGCCAATAAAATG